ATGCAACCTGGGGGGCATTGAAAATGATGAATAAAAACGTAAAAATATGATTAGTGTTAATATGAGTGTATTACATACATATGTTTAAATAACGAACTTAACAAAAAACAACAGATTTAAAGATTCACTGAGAAAGTAGTAATGTTAACATTAAATAAAACATTATCAATAATAATTATGCGATCGCCACCTATCCGTAAAACAAACAAGCAAAAAAACAAAATAACATACAAGACATCAGGTTAACATGATGACAGATCATGATCGATGACAGATAAAGAATTCTTACGGAAAGTTACACTTTACGATATAATTTTTTTAACTGTTAAAGGCAAACCCCATTTAAACACAAAACTTTTTAATACCTACTACTGTATCTAAAAGACATTTTTTTAAAATTAGTAAATTCTTAGCCACGCTTCTGTTTTTCTTGGCTGTTGTGCTGTTATACAACTTGCTGTCAATCTACACAAATATTATCAAAAGCTTTTTTTCTTTTAAAATATGTTCAGATTTTGTAAAAAGTATAAGTCAAAATCGCAAAACTTAAATTTGACATGAGTTTCTTAGTTTTTAACTAATATAGTGGCGAATTACAAAAATTCCTTTTCAATGAAAATTAATCAGTTAAATAAAATATTTTAATAAATTACTAGCTTTTTCCGCGACTACGTTCGCATTACACCTCGAATCGTTCATGCATTGATTTAAATGATTTTTTACTTCTTTATAGAGAGCTAGTGAGCATAGATGTTTTTTATTTTTCATCTTTTTATTATTTATTAAGAGCACTAATACTCTCTTTATAACTTATTTTTTATTCTTTGAAGGATAATTGAGGAAGATATATTTTGTTATGATGTCACTAAATAAACCCTTGTATAAAATTTTATACTGTCTGGTTTATAATGTTATACTATTGCATTTTCGTACAGCAAACTTTCATTCCCTATTCTACTCCCTAAGTATAAATTTCATAAATTCGTTTTATCTTTGTGCCAATTTTTATGTGTATAATCCAGCGGTCACCAAGTTTTATATAAATTTTTACTAACTTTACCCATTTGGTTGATGAATTTCAAAAATTTCTTCTAATTCTTTTTGTAGGATTTCATTCTTCTAGACCAAATAGTAAGGAATTTTCATACAACAAACTGTTCCGACATAATTTTACTCTCTAAGAGGATGAATTTCCTAAAATCGCTTTGTGTAGCTAATTCACTAATGTCGTTTAAACGAACCTTTGTGCTAATATTTATGTATCTAAAGCTGGCGGTATGAACTCACTCCTAAAATATCTAAAAACTTAATATATAATCTAACTGACACACCACTGACAATGACAAATTATTTATTTCTGGAGGTATTGTGTGTAGGTGTTTTCAGGTATGTTTTAGTATTTTGTCGTTTTACACAAAGAAATAGCCATTAAGCACTATAAAAATACTTCATAACAAATCTACACATTTTTCATAACACATCTACACCTTTCATTTAAAAAAAGAATCATCAAGATTGGTGAAGCGGTTTCGGCGGGATGAATGCAACAAAAAACCCTTTGAGCTTTTATATATGTGTGGATTAATTATTTTTTCAACATATTTTACTTTGCAAATTTTTATAAATATTCAGAGTCGCCAATATCGTAGTCCACCGTGTCCAGCCTGCTTAGCCAAACGTAGGCCGATTCCTCTTCGGCGGCGCGCGGCGTCGTTACCCTGATGGAAGAGTCTTGAAGACGCTCATCCGCGCATAGGAACAAGTTGACTGCGTAGCGTCTTGCGTTATTAATCGATTCTGAAACTTTCTATCTAATGTATAACATGTTACGCAAGTTAATTATTTTAATCTCGATTTTAATAGATAAATATGTGAAATGCCGCCCGAATATCTTCCGCCATGACATGTTTTTACTTTTTTGTTATGGTAAAGTAATTTGTATAAACTTTATTCAATAACGTATATTTTCCTCCATTTGTGATTTTTTAATTTTAAGCGAAAATTAAGTATAACATTTTAGGAAAAAGAAACACTGTAATATTTAAAAGAATAAGAAGAAATTAGTCTTATTTTGAAAGAAAAATATAGAAAAACTCTTTCTATAGAAAAAAGTCTTTATACTAACCAGAATCCGGTGACATATACGCGGTCTCACCGGAAACATTACTTATTACTTCACATAACTTGAAGAATATCTACTTGTAAGAATGAACACTTCAGAAATACACCAGTAAAAACATTTATTATTTGAGATTAAAACTCGAATGAAATTATAAATATTAGTTACCTATGTTGTTATAGCTTTTATAGGCCTGTTTAATGACTTAATAAGTTACCTAGCAAAAAAATCTGTGCGCGTACCTACCACTATTGTTACAGGTTAATTTTTTAAAGAAATATGTTAATACAAATTAAAAACGCTAAAATTTTAATGGTATTACTTGTGCATTATTGGCCTTAAAATGCAATTAGTTGGAATTATATCTTCTTTAAATATAATTAGACTTTTTAACGACTTTTAAGTTACCTAGAAAAAAATCTGTGTACGTACCTACCACTATTGTTACAGGTTCATTCGTTAAACAAATGTGTTACATATTATTCGTGGTATTAGTGGTATTGGTAATCAGCTTGGCATTAGTGAGGCATTATATGAGAAATTTTGGTACTTAATTTGTATTTTTGGCATTACTTTGGCATTAGTATACAGACATTTGTCAGCGGTTTACTCCTTGTAGATAATCAAAAAGTTTTTAGATAAAATTTTCTTTTTATGTCAGATCATTTCTATGAAAAATTACATTAGATTTTTATTAAAGACGCTGGGTAATTAAAACATTGACTAATAAAGCTTGTCCACTTTAAATAAGGGGTCACGAAATATCCTCCTTGGAGTGTTTGGGTTATGGGGTGTATAATAAATTAATCCTTGTTTTATAGTAAAAACCATAAAACATTTATTTGTGAGTAAAATAATGCAATGGTTGGATATCTCTCCTTTATAATTAGGTGACTAAAAATACACTAAAATAATTAGAAAAGAAATCTTGTAATTATTTAGTAATTACGTCAATATTAATTAATTGACTTTCCAGTCTATTTTATCTTATGTACAAATATATTATTAAATTTTAATCTAAGCATTAAGTAATGAAACACTTTGTGCCCTCTTATATCGTAAGAGGTTACGAAATATACTCCTGGTTACACTCCTTACAGAAAACAGTGTAAAGTGTGCAAATAAATTGTATAATCACTGTTTTTTATAATAAAAACTATAAAACATTTCTTATTTGTGAGATTAAAAAAACAAAACAATGCATTGGTTAAAATAAGTACATTCAATACATGTATTGTGTTAGATATTTATATGCCCAGTATATTTTTGTTTAACAAACCAATCAGGAAAAAATCCAAAACCTACCGTTATAGGAGGTATAAGATGATTAAACTTATATAATGACAACTACTTATCGGATAACAAATTAATTACTACTGTCAGCTACTGTCTAGATAGAATATACCTAGAGTACCTACACCTACCTATGATGTAGGTAGATTAAAAAGCTTATTTTGACTTTACGTCTCACTTCGGTGTCACAAGCTGAATTTTTCAGGGATGGAAGTACAGTACATGATATGGGGACCCTTATTCCGAAAGTAGTACAAAATTAGACCGGGTAAAAGGGCACTATCATCAAAAATCGATATATTAATACCACCGTATAGAGAAAACAAATACTTATTTTTTGATCCAGTACACAATAAAGTCTTCGTAGGGAGTAATTTTTTATAATTATTTACAAAAAAAAACATTTCCATTAGCGCTTATGACCAAAAAAACATTTAAACATGAATAACTCATTTCAATCATGCGAAAATTTGGTTTAAAAATAGACTTTTTTTAATATAACTTTCATTTAACGAAAAATGAAGGCCTAAATGAAAAAAAGAAACAATTTAAAAGTTTCGCTTATGTCTTGACAAGGTATCAAAGCAAATCCCATATTTTTTGCTTTTAAACTAATAAAGATATATCAATAAACATTTAGCGATATAATGGTTTTTGCGCGCGCTGGCCGACTGCCGCCATTGCGCCGAGATTTCCTATACCCTTGTATATATGACGTCATGGTGTTGCAAATGTAGCATTTTAATTCGATTTGGGCTCCCTTATATAGGATAACAGAAACATTTTCAATGTTAAAAACACATTTTTTAAGATATTTTAAAAACCGTTATTCCGATTTGAATGAGATTTGTGGTGCCTATGTTTTGGTAAGTGCTTCAATATTTGACATTCACAAAAATGAAGAAAAAGTATGGAAAGACCAAACCAAAAAATGTGTTTATTTTTTTAAAGTTTGATACCCTCTAGTGAACAAACGAGGCACTTTTATATAGAGGTAAATCGGATCCAGTAAACTTATTTTGATTCCAAAAATACGTAGTAGTTTTATGTCCACGAAATATTGAGACATCCATCCAGTATATAAGAAATATTTTTTCCTATTTTCTTTCAACATGCAAATAATTGCGTGTGGCGCTACTGACTGCTGTGATTTTATGTTGGATTTTTACTGTTTTGAAAATTAGCGAGAAGTTAGAGATGAAAATTTAATTATTTTATATTTTAATGTTGTCAAAATCCGCTTCATATTATAGTAATTAGCCTGAAAGTGCATTCTACTAATTGCAAGCACCCTTCTTGTAAAATAAGTTATAATTAGAAGACGTTATGATGTTACTAAGTCCCTAATTAAATTGCAAAAGCAATTTAGAAACTGGGTAAAGATACTATTTTAAGTAATTTTTGTACCTTTATGGTAATATTAATATTAAAAATAGAATCTATCTTATAATATACTATCACTAATTAATGTAATATCATAACTTAAAAAGATATAAAGCTAATATCATCTGATTTTCAAGTAAAAATTAATTAAATTTGAAATCTACAGAAACAGTGGCTCGTCTCTATCACTATTTTTCTATTCTAGGTGACACGGATCTACTGGCACTCACTGCAGAACCAACAGATATGCCCGAATACGTGAACCCGTACCCTATAACCCATCCCTGTTACCGATTTGCCGACATCACTAATAAGGAGTTTTTTAGTCCCGCCTACCCCCCTGATGCCGCTACTTACCCTAATAACACCAACTGCTCAGTGGTCTTAACTGGTAAGTTTATATGTATATGTTATAGTACGAGAGCTAACAACGTCGGGAAAACAAGTATTTGAAGACGTCTGGCTCTTTGATACATCTTTTACTATGCTCTCTAGAAAAGCATGCGGCCCGTCTGGCTGCCGGTAAACGTTGCGTTCCCTACGGCGCATTGAAAGAAGATCCTAATTTTTATTAGTCCTTTAAATTCTAGTATTGAATATAAATCGAACATGTCTCCATAGCGCAGTGCTTAGAGTTTCCGAACACGAACCGAAGATTCAGAGTTCAAATCCGGGTCAGGTCAAAGACTTTTTTATTTTTATTTTCGTTTACATTCTGATAGTAAAGTATTAAATATTTGTTATTTTTTTAATTACCAGAATTATTTAATACTTTACTATCAGAATATAAACGAAAATAAAATAAAGAAGTCTTTGACCTGCCCCGGATTTGAACTCTGAATCTTCGGTTCGTGGTCGGAAACTCTACGCACTGCGCTGTGGGGACATGCTCGATTAATATTCAATACTAGAATTTATAGGACCAAATTAATAAAAAATATAGGATCTTCTTTCTATGCGCAGTAGTAAACACAACGGGTATCGGCAGCCAGACGGGCCGCATGCTGTTCCAGAGGGCATAGTAAAAGATAAAGCAAAGAGCCAGACGTCTTAAAATACTTTCTCGAAAACGTTGCTAGCTCTTAGACTATTAGATTGAGAGGCAATTATTGAGATTTAGTTCCGGATTGCATTACCGGTTTATTGATTTACCAGTTTATGGGTTAAATGTCCTAAAAACGTGGTAAAATATTATCCGTAAATCGTCTTCAAATACCATTCATTTTAGTAGTCATTAAAAAAATAAATATACGGTAGAATAACAACTAAAAGTCGTTCAACAAAGTTAAAGAGGTAATATTTTGGTTAACTGTATAACAAACAATTTAAGTGAGATAAAGGAACCTACGCTGAGTTAAAATTATTTCTATTGTGACTTACCTCGGATGCGCTCGACAGAAGCAACATTTCGGAAATTTGAGGAGAATAGGTTATGTAAACCAAACGCTAAATTTGTAAATAGCCCTACTTATTTTATTAAAGGAAATGAAAGGAGTGCGTACTCTGCCTGGAATTCACAAGTAAAAGAACACGGCAGAGAATACCTTGATCGCTATTATGTTGTTCTGAACTTTAATAACAAAGAAATAATAATAATACAAAAACTGTCCTCACAAGAAGGTTAGTAGTTTAAGTTACTATTGAAGTTGAAGGTTTGGTGCAAATATCTTTAGTCTATCAGTTATTCTATTCTTTGGTTTATTCGCCCAGTCTTGTTCGAAAAATGTTAGTACTGTCAACAAGGCTCGATTATTATCATACTGAACCAGAAACATCAGCACAAATGGAGAGGAGTAAACGATTGTATTTAGAGTACTTTTAAACTGAAGTTATTAACAGCATAAATCGATTCAATTAAATACTTGCACATGTTACATCCTTTGTCATATCAAATAAATAAGGAAAAACTTTAGCACAGAATATTACAACAGGAAAATAAGCTGTATGTTTTATTAGTTAACACTAGTAGAATAATGTGCAAACATATTTAAGTACCTTAACCTTTAATAAGATTCTTTGCCGCAATAACCAAAATAACATCAATGCGTTCCAACGCTATTACCTAACAGCTACCATCTATGTTCGTTGTCTGATTTCCCTTTCCCTAGTGTGTGTATAAATATTTAAAAAATCAATAATTATTTATGTATACAGTGTCTTAAAATCTTCTGGATTTAGAGAAACATGTTTATTTTTAAATAGGCGGGTCATCTCATTACCTACTTCTTACAGTGCCATACTCTATACAGACCGTCGGCTACCTCTCACATGTACTTGTGATGTGTGTCATCAGTGTTTCACATGAATACGAGACCTACAGTTTATCGCCGAATCCGAACGGCACTATTTGAGAGGCTGTACAAGGCAAATATACTCACTTGTGTGTGTATTCTTCCACGCTGGCCATGCGGTTTGGAAGAAGGTATGGTGTTAGGAAGGGAATAATGGGTGTAATCTTAGGATAGGGAGCTTAAGGAAAAAACTTAGAATTGGACACTGGTTTCCCCCATATGGTGTTGGGAGATAAACCAAGGCTGGCGTGGGCAGGGGCGCGTTCCAGAAGTGGGTCTGTCATCTATGGGGATTGTAGATGAGTACCTACCAAAGTAGTTGAGTAACCAAACCAAACTGCTTACAAATACTTGGGACATGAAATACGAATAAGCCGCGATAATCAAACTTGCGAGCTTAACAGACGCATAGGACTGACTTGGGCCACCTACGGACGACTGAAATACATTTTCAAAGGGGCACTTCCCATATGTTTGAAGAGAAAAGTATTCATTCAATGCGTACTACCTGTTCTAACGTATGGTGCGGAGACGCTAACATTAACCAAGAAAACTGTAAGCAAAATCAGAACGAGCATTGGACAAAATGGATGGAGAACAAAAGTCTTGGATGCCATAGAGAAAATAACTACTCTGAAATGGAATTGGGCAGGGCACATTGCAAGGCTAAACGTTGACTGATGGACGAAGAAAATGATAGAATGGAGGCCAAGACACCATGCATTCAAAATGATCAGTTTAATAGATATGTGGAAGTGCACTTGTTTGCTTAAGATATGTTGGATATAAAATACTGTTAAGAGTAAGAACTATCAAAATATTTATACGTCATAACTGTTCAAAGAAACGATTGAAAATATTTCGTAATATGGCGAAAAAAAAATTGCCATAATTGTTCATTATTTAGAGTTTTATTATTTCAGTTTAGTAAACTGTAAAAAAGGTATTGAATTAATAGTAATCTACAATGAATAAAATGAAGTATTGTTTTTTGGCAAAATTTAAAAATGTCAACTTATAACTTACAGAATGTGGATAACGTATGAGGTGGCAACATTGCATTCTCCCCAAGAACTATTTTCCGAAACTGAACAAGCGGCACTCAAAAGTTTTTCAAAAATCAAATGGAAATTGTCACAAAAATATAAAATAGTCAACATTTTTTTTGTAAAAAAACTTCATGGGCGTGTTTTTGGGGTCAAACTAAACAACCAGTTAAAATATTTGCACTTATTTCTGGGACACACTATATTTTATTTCTTTTTCCGCTGGTTCTGACAAGAAAAATCCGGTAAATATTGGTAAACTGGTAATTCCATGTTTTAAATTACCGTTTACCGGTAAATGAAAAAGCCGGTAAATTTGCAATCCCTAGATTTAATTGACTATTAAATATACTACTGATAAATATAATATATAAATCTTAAATTTGATAATGCAACGAGGTTATGGGGTGCATATCGACCATCCACTTTAAAATCTACAGGTGTACGGTATTATATCGTGTAGATTGCGCGAAGCGTTTCGAACGGAGGATTATTCCCAAACAGTAGGCGGTTCCAGGTGCTATAAGCGAACACGAAAAACTCTTTATTAATATTCAACGCCCGGGAATAATACAACGCCCGACCCGTTTGACGAATTATACGAATTTAAATTAAAGGATGAAGCATAGCTTTTTTGGTACGTTTTTTTTTTCTTTTCATTTGCCTTAATTTAAAACGAAGCTATCTTATTGAAAAAAGAAAGTTTTTATAATATATTTCTCCTTTATCGTGATATACATTGTGTGGAGTACTTTCTGTAGGCGACAGGCGACTTTCTGTGATATATATGTAATTTTTATTATCTGTCAAGTTTCGCAAATCAACCAGTAATTCTCTTTTTGTTCTGAATTTCTTGTATTTTTGTTTTATTGGAATTTTGTTAGACCATATTTTAATAACATACATCAGACCTTCTACATTAAACTTTTCTCTAATTTGTTGATGATGACAAAAAAATCTTTACTATACAGTTTTTCAAGCAGAGGGAGGGTTTGATTTTGATTAATGAGTATACTAAGAAAATTTCATCGTCAAAAGTCAATTAAAAAAGTCAGTTAAAAAGGTTTTTAAACTATCTTTAAGGCACTCATAGACGCTCAGCTATTTTGTACAGGACGCGGCCGCAAACAATTTGTGCATACCTGATTTGTGCCGGTATATCGGCACGTGTGTGTGGGTGAACTTCCGGCCGACTGTGTAGGATTGGCTCCACCTGAACGAAATCAGGTACTGCTTGAATTTGGCCTACGCAAATTTCGAAGCCTTATATTAACTTGAAACAAAATGTCAAATTTAAATAAACTTTTTCACACACTACCTATGGAAACACACATTTTCTATGGAAACTGTTGGTAAGCCTTATTTTAGCTAGTAAAACTTGTTCGCAACTCTGCATATCAATTAAAATTTTTATCTTATTTAAATACAACTAATAATACAACCAAACCAATAATTACAATTAAAAATTATCAAATAAATATTACTTCTATAAAGATGCAGAGAAAAATATAGGGTTAGAAAATATAATCTCACCTATTCTAAATTTGTCAATTTTTTTCAATGTTGGATTTACAAAATAACTAAATATATAGGCATTACATCAAAAAATAATGATACAGAAAACAGTGGAAATATTAAATTAAATGTAGGTACTTTAAAATAAAAATATATTTAAAAGAGTGACAATATTGATTAAATTCCATCAAGATATATATGCCTAATTTATGATGGAGTGTTGATGAATTGGGATTAGTAATATCAGTATAATATCAGCAATAATGGAAACCATTTAAAGGGACGAGGTCACCGAGAGCAGAATTGAAAAAGCTTTGATGTTTCGCCGGGTGTCCTATCATCATTCATATGTAATCTTTGACATCGGTTCAAGTTGCACACAGCTCACTTTAAAAACACAAATTAAATCTTTCTCCGCTGTGGCCAACCGGAGGTCTCAAAGTATCCGTAATTCGGCGTACAAGTTTAGCGGAGCGGCAAAGTAAACGTTTGTTTGGGGGGAGATGGACGAAACGGAAACCGCAAAAGAACGAAGAAAT